TCCATGCCTTGTGCGGTTGTTTTGCATTTGCAATTTTCCAGTTCTTTATTGACTTTTTTTTTTTTTCCAATTGTTTTAAATAAAACAACAAGGGCAAAAGAGTAATATGGGTAAAAATCAAAGTTAAATCACAATTTCCTTCCCTCTCTCTATCTCGCCGCATTCACCAACGAAAAGCCTCGCCACAAGCCACTCGTCGACAATGGCGGCTGCCACTGCAAACACCATTTTGCCTACGCCTTCTTCTTTAACTTCCTCCTTCAAATCTTCAATACCCATTTCCAAATCTATCCTTCCCTTCTCTACAGCCCCTCGAAAGCTCACCACTTCCCGTTCCCTCACCATTTCCAGCTCTCTTTCTCAGTCAAGTTCCAACACCAGATCCGCCGCCGCCACTGTCACCCCAACTACAGCCCCTTCCCATGATTTTATTTCCCGTTATGCCCCTGATGAGCCCCAAAAAGGCGCTGATATCCTCGTGGAAGCCCTGGAACGTGAAGGGGTCAAGGACGTGTTTGCCTACCCAGGTGGAGCTTCCATGGAGATCCACCAGGCTTTAACCCGGTCCAAAATAATCCGAAATGTCCTTCCACGACACGAACAAGGTGGGATCTTTGCGGCGGAGGGGTACGCGCGCTCCTCTGGCCTCCCGGTGTTTGCATTGCAACGTCTGGCCCTGGGGCAACTAACTTGGTGAGTGGTCTTGCTGATGCGATGCTTGATAGTATCCCTCTCGTGGCGATCACGGGTCAAGTCCCTCGTAGAATGATCGGTACGGATGCTTTCCAAGAGACTCCTATTGTTGAGGTAACAAGGTCTATTACAAAGCATAACTATCTTGTTCTTGATGTGGATGATATTCCTAGGATTGTTAGTGAGGCTTTCTTTTTAGCTACCTCGGGCAGGCCAGGTCCTGTTTTGATTGATGTACCTAAGGATATACAACAGCAGCTTGCTGTTCCTAAATGGGACCAGCCTATTAGATTGTCAGGGTATCTCTCTAGGTTGCCTAAGCCTCCCGGTGAGGCTCATTTGGAGCAGATTGTGAGGTTGGTTTCCGAATCTAAGAAGCCAGTGTTGTATGTTGGTGGTGGGTGTTTGAACTCCAGTGAGGAGTTGAAGAGGTTTGTTGAGCTTACAGGGATACCTGTTGCAAGTACTTTGATGGGTCTTGGAACGTTTCCGACCCCGGATGAGTTGTCATTACAAATGCTTGGGATGCATGGAACTGTGTATGCTAATTATGCTGTGGATAAGAGTGATTTGTTACTTGCTTTTGGAGTAAGGTTTGATGATCGGGTGACAGGAAAACTTGAGGCTTTTGCCAGCCGGGCCAAGATTGTTCATATTGATATTGATTCAGCCGAGATTGGGAAGAATAAGCAGCCTCATGTGTCGGTGTGTTCAGATGTCAAATTGGCATTGAAGGGGGTGAACAGGATATTGGAGAGTAAGGGAGCTGAGCTTAAACTCGATTATTCAGCTTGGAGGCAGGAGTTAAACGAGCAGAAGCTGAAATACCCATTGAATTACAAGACCTTTGGTGAAGCTATTCCACCTCAATATGCAATTCAGGTTCTTGATGAATTAACCAATGGGAATGCGATTATAAGCACTGGTGTTGGTCAGCATCAGATGTGGGCTGCTCAGTTTTACAAGTATCGGAAGCCTCGTCAATGGTTGACATCAGGGGGATTGGGGGCCATGGGATTTGGATTGCCTGCTGCCGTTGGAGCTGCTGTTGCAAATCCCGGTGCTGTTGTTGTTGACATTGATGGTGATGGAAGTTTCATCATGAACGTCCAAGAGTTGGCGACTGTCCGTGTGGAAAATCTTCCCATTAAGATATTGTTGTTAAATAATCAGCATTTGGGCATGGTTGTTCAATTGGAGGATCGATTTTACAAGGCAAACAGGGCACAGACGTACTTGGGTGACCCATCTAATGAATCTGAAATATTCCCAAATATGTTGAAATTTGCTGAAGCATGTGGAATACCTGCTGCTCGTGTGACAAGGAAGGAAAATCTCAGAGCAGCAATTCAGAAAATGTTGGACACTCCCGGACCTTACTTACTAGATGTAATTGTCCCCCATCAAGAACACGTCCTGCCTATGATCCCTAGCGGAGGGGCTTTTAAAGATGTGATCACAGAGGGTGATGGAAGAACACAATATTGATTTTAATGAGCATCCATCAATATGTGTTTTTGGTAATGTATGTATGATCAGTTATGGAGGCTTAGCTTTGAGTTGTGGCAGTGACATGGAGGAAACTTGCTTGTGCCCCCTATAGTTAGTTTTTCTGTCTTCTAAAATCTATCAAGCAGGCTTTTTGTTTGGTCCTATGCAAATCTTGTATGTCTTTTAGTCAATAATGTACTGTTAATAGATGAATCTAAACTTCAATGGTTGTTTTTCTTAAATTCTTTCCAAGGATAGCATAATGAATGCTTTCATAATTTGGAGGCAATGTAGCAAATCTCATCACGGATTGCTCAAGTTACCAATGCTGAATTATCATGGACCGCACAGGAGTCTTAGATGGTCGCATGACGAGATTTGTTCAAGATGATGTGGGCGAAGCATCAGGAAGGATTGAAACTTCACTAAGACCCGACTAGCCCTTGGGGAGTGTCACATTCACTTAATCTGGTTAAAGGCTTACTTAGGTCTACGAATGGTAGTTTTCTGCCTAAGTTTGCACGGTAATTAAATGGTAGATTTTTGCTTAAAGTTGCACGGTAATTAAGCTTAAACTCTCGATCCGTGACAAGATTATACTCTTAAACATCTATTTATTTTGGATAACGAACATTTTAAAAATACGATCATAATTAAATGTTCAATGATATATTTTATTTTATTTTTGTTATTCAATAATTTAATTCAAATCAATAAAAAATTTTTTAAACACGTTACGATAATAAGTCATTTTATTTCGTTATTTTATGATTTAAATTTAAAATAATGAAAATTCCCTTGAAAGCATTCACTTTTATTTTTATTCTATAATCGAAACAAGAAATTTCTATTTTACATTCAAATGCCAACGGAAAAGAATAGATTCACTAAAGGAATCTTGACCCAACTTTACACCCAATTAAATAAACGTAAAGAGTACCAAATTAGTAAAGTGAGAGTGGTGACATTTAACTTAAAACTAACGAATACTAAATAGCAACTGTCATAATAACGAAGGCAACATTAGCAACAACCTTTTTGCAACAGTTAAATCATTGTCACAAAAATATCATCATTGGACTAGAATATGTTGATATTATTTATTTTTCTTTGGAACTGCGAACCCTTTAGCAGCCTGTCCCGAAGCAAACCTCAGCAGGATAAAGACATCAGCAACTGCCACAACAATCCATGGGTGTAAACATGCAAAAGCCACCGGCAATGCGGCAGTCTCCACCACTTTTACCGACCATGAAAATGCTGGCGAAAGGGTTTCTCATTACGAGCGGCGAATCAAGTTGGAGTTACCGTGGCTACAAGTACCACCACCAACTCCATCGCAACAAAGATGGCCATCTGTAGTAAAGTGTAACTGGAGATCCTTTATATAGGAATTAAAGCTAATTGTTTAGACTAAATTGGCATAGATTAAGAATGAGTTTCTTTTTAATGTTGTCTATTAGTTGTAATTAGGGGGAGGGCCAAGATGCGTGATCGAGGTGAAGCAAATTAAACATACGTGCCGATGAACGAGTTTTTTTTTTTTAATGCTCTTTATTAGTTGCGGCTAGTGGTGGGCCAAGGTTTTTTTTTTTTCTTTTTTTAAATTTGGATAGATAAATTATTTAATTTATCATGATAAGATATGTTATATTTGATAGTTTAAGATAAGTGATTATAAATCATACATTCGAGATGATCTTAACAAATAATCATCAACAAAACTCGAACTCAAAACTTCTTTATCGAGAAAAACGATTTTAACCGATTGAATCAATCATTTATTAATCTTGAATTAAGATTTATGATAAAAAAAATTACAAATTATAAATAATAATCTATAAAATAAATTACATTATAATATAGAAGCGATGCACGAATATATATATATATATATATATGAATTTATATTTGATATATTATTAATATATAAATTTTATATATTATTAATGAATTAAATAATAATAATTTATTAATAAAATAAATTTGATGATAATATTTTATTAATAAATAAATAATTTATTTTATATATATTATTTATTAATAAATTATTATCATCTGATTTATTAATAATATATAAAATTTTTACATTAATAATTTATTAAATATAAACTCTCTCTATATATAATTATAATATAGTAGCGTATTTATATGGATAGAAAGATTAAAAAATAAATTTTTTAATATTTATTTTTAAAACTTTTTTTAAATACCTTTTCATTAATAAAATTAATAAAATTATCAATAATTATATGAAAAATAAGTAAATACGTTCAGAAAAAATATTAAATCTGTCCACTAATATTATACACTTGTAAGAGAGAGTCCAGCTAATAATTTGAAGTATATTACATTATGGTATCATACTACCTTCATCCGTTCCATGTACACACACATACACATAAGCTTCCACTTAGTGTAACATAAAATGGATTATGGCTTTAATTATGTCCATAATGATATATATGGTGCTACTTGTTTGGACCAAATTTAACTGTATTTTTTTAATAAAATGGTGAAAAACAATTAAATTATATGAAAAAAGTTACTGTAAATTTTGTACAAATTTTATATGTATATTAGGATAGTATTTTATCTACATATGTAAATATTATTGTTATTAATCTAATTATTTTTACCGCTCATTAGTGAATTTTTCTTAGCATTCAATGATTTTTGTAATGAAATTAAGTTAGAATTTGATAAATTATTTTAAAGAAAAATGATTTATGAAGTTATTTCATCTCATTTATTATAATATATAAAATTTATATATTAAAAATATTAATTAATTATTTCATTGTTACATCCGTAATTAGACTAAAGTACAGTACTTTTTGTTTACCCTAACGGCGGGGGGACGGTCCCATCACGGCCCGTATTCTTTTGGCCCGTTGCCAAATGAATTCCTCAAGCTTCCTCTTCCATCAGCTAAATTCCTAGTCATAGTCGTGGTCGATCTCTCTCAGGAGGCGGGGGCCACAGTCGTGGTTGGAGCTATAGCCCGAGCGAGAGGCACAGCAAGTCTCCAAGAGCAAAACCTTGGCGCAAGTCACCTGGAAAGTCAAGATCAAGGCCCACTCGTTCGGTTGTTCCCGATTTGAATCAGGGTTTTTCCTTTTTCCTCTCCTCTAAGTTTCCAAGTCAAAGCTTCAAAACTAGATGAAAATCCCTAAACCCGACACCCAGAACTGATAAGCAATGCTTATTTCATCATCTTAGTTGATATCGTATTTTAGTTTTATTGATATCATGTTTTATTGATAAATGATAAATGATAAATATCTATTTTTAGATGGAATTTGATGATATCAAATGATATTTTCTGAAGAACATGGGTTTAGGATAGTGAGGTCTACAAAATTTGATTCTGATAATTAGTGATTCAAACTATAAGAGTTGCCCATGTAAATGTGAGTGGGATAAAATTGAGAAACTTAGCCAGTTCTTGGGTTTTTTTTTAATAATATTGCTTGTATGTTTTTTTTGGAACAAAGTACCCTACGGCTAACGTATACTTTACTTCAATTTTCATAGCATGCTTAACCTTGAATGAAAACATGAATGGATATGATGTGCATATAATTTTAAAGTTTTTAGATTATCATCTGACTGCATCTCAAGTTTTTAGATTCGAACGATTTGATCTCTGCGTACAGCCTACTTAGGTTGTTAGATTTTTCTTCTTATTATTCTTTTTTTAATGCTGTTTCACTATGATTTTCATGCAATTTCACTCTGATTTGATCTCACTATGATTTTTTCTGGATAGCTTGTTAAGAGAAAGAACTGGACTAGGTGTCTCCTATGTGGTCAATGTGTTGAATGCTTCTAGGTTGCTTTGTTGTTAAATGCAGGTTTGAATCTTTCTTTTTCTAATTTTTCCATCCTTTAAATCCATTAAACTAGCCAGATGATATGGTATATATATAAAGGAAGAATAAAGAAGAAGATAGACAAAGTATGAGTACCAATTAGTGTCACTTGCAAAAATTGAAAGTCTTTAATTTAAGCAACTTGCATCATAAGTAAACACAAATTGTCCAGCATAATTTTATTAAACTGTTGTTTCCTTCTATTTCTCGTTTCTTGTTAATGTCCGGAGATTGCAAGATCAATAACATCCCAATAGGCTGATAAATATATATTTTCTAGCTGCAGAGCCTCAACTTTCTTATCATCTTTCCATTGTTGGGTTTAAGCTTGATATTACTAGTAAGATTTTTGAATTACATAATTTTAAATTTAGGATTCTTAGTCCTCAGAATTACAAGCACCACATTTAATTAATAGCACCAGTGCACCAGATTTGATCAATTTTTTAAAAGTTAATTTATGCCTCAAAATTTGACTTTAAGATCATACATTCACTGTTATATTTTGGCTGTAATTCATTCTCTTAATCCATGTGTTACTTATTCCACACGATAGGTCATTGCCTAGCAAAATTTGATGCATCCCATAAAACTATTGCTGATTTTTAATCCCAAAATAAGGGTACATAAGCTTGGTCCACATATAAACATTATGTTGCAGTTTCTTGCGTTGAGAATTTCACTTAGCTTTAGAAATTTGCATGAACAATGTTGCACCATTTACAGACAAAAATGATAGTCAAAACTTAGCAAAAATATTTTCCATTCATAGGCCTAGTTGATTTATGTTTAATTTCACCAAATCAAGCTCTGAAGTAAAGCTTTATTTTCACATAATGATCAACCATGTCCATTTTCTTCAATTGTGTCGAAAGGAAAGATTGAGCTAGGTAGAGGGGAAAGTGCCAGAAGGTGAGAGCGAGGGATGAGTTAGGAGTGGGCTCAAAAACCAACAGTTACAGTTTCAGTGATTTTTTTTTAAGAATTAGTTTATATCATTTATCTTTCCCCTTTCATCGTTTAAGGTACAAATTCTATCCATCTCCCCTTTGTTGGAAAAATATTCATGCCTTTTGTATGTTTTCTTTATTTCAATGTTTGAACAAAAGAGTTTTTATTTCACTCAGTATTTTTGCAGATGAGTTTTGTAACTGATTCCCCAGTACACTCGTCTAGCAGTGATGACTTTGCCGCATTGCTTGATGCTGAGCTTGAAGTCGGTTCTTCAGGCTCATCACACGATGAACAAGACGATGAAGAGGAAGAAGTTGATGATGATAATAATGATGATGATGATGATGACCTCGACAATCAAAGGTACATTTTCTAGGAATAAATTTTTAATTTTGTTGGAGTTACTATTAAAGAAAACAATGAATGATGAATTTTTTTTCTTTTGCAAATAATGACAAGTGAGAACATTAGTAACTTTTTTTAATGGACACTGGGAAAGTTTTACAGTTTTATTTAATTATGTTATTTTGAAAGTATTTGAATATTTTCTTTGTGATACATGAAACTATGCTAATTTTAACATCCATGACTTTTTCAAAGGATACACACAGCATATGCTTTTCCTTGGTTGAGTTCCTATAAGTTTATATTATGGGTTTTGATTGAATCCTTCTTAGATTGATATTGCATGTTAAGATAAATTTGAGGAAATGTTTTAAAAAATTTTGGATTTTGTTCTGATTGATTTGAGACCTACTATGGTGATGAGTTATGTGGCTATTTGGTTATGCACTTGATAGACTCGAGAATTGATTATCTTAGCATCTTATTATTGAATATATCATTTGAAATTTGAATTGAACTTGCTGTTTTTATCCCGTTTTCTTTATAAAATACAGTGGTTAAACTAAAGGTCTTCTATAAATTTAACTTGCAGGAACAAAAGGTGCAAGACCGAGAAGTTGGAAGACGTAGAAGAACCTCAAGGGTCAACCTCGCAGGGTTTGATAGAAGAAAATATAGGTAAAGTTCCTTAATTTGGTTGGCTGCCCCTCCAGTTTATTTAAAACTTGGATCCCTTCCACTCCCTGAACTTCAGCACAATTAACTATCTGGTGACATGCTCACAAGTGTCTCATGCTACTAATGGCTTTTAGGAGATACAACAAGAGAGCAATTTGGCTGTAACTAGTCTATTCTTAAATTTTAATCTAGTACTATTCATAAATATTCAAATAGGATGTGTCTGTTTTAGATGGTTTGCCATGCTAAAGCTTTCTAAGTTTCAAACCTCAATTTGGCTTTATTTGTTGAGCTTCATGCAAGTTGCATGTGAATGATACTGCCTAAATGATGTGTGCATGCACCCACACATACTCTCTCTCTTGAACAGTCTTTTTTTTTCCTTAGAAACTACTATTGAAAGCGTCTACAAGAAAAAGGCTTGTGAACAGGAATAAATATCTGTATCTAAAGATGTAAAAACATGTCCACTGATGAAGTTGCATGTCATCCCATATCATCTTCAAAAGTAATATTAAAAAGAAAATGACAGAAGGGTTTACATACATATACTGCTTCTTTCTAGCGTTTAAGTTTAATTTCAGTTTAGTGCTTTACTTTCTCTGCTAATTTCAAATTTTATACATGCAGAAGTATCCTTGAAAAGGGATCTATGTACACATCCAGGTTCTTTTGGACAAATGTGCATCCTTTGTGGGCAAAGGTTGGATGATGAATCCGGTGTAACATTTGGGTATATACATAAGGTATTCACTGTTTGAAATGATGGCTTGTGGAATCATCTCTGTTATCTGTTACTATTTCATTATTTTATATTTTTATGTGTTGAGGCCTGATATGTTTCTGATTGGCTATGATCATTGATCAGTCACAGAAAAGCTTTTCTTTGTAATTCCAAGCATTTATTTTCAATCATACAAATTAGAATAACAATATTTAGCTGTGCTCTTTATTGATTGTCTCTAGACTAAGATGTGGGGAACAATTGTACTTGCAGGGTTTAAGGCTTGGTAATGATGAAATTGTTCGATTACGCAGCACAGATATGAGAAATTTGTTACGTCATAAGAAGCTTTACTTAGTTCTTGATTTAGATCACACATTGCTGAATTCTACTCTGCTCATGCACCTAACACCTGAGGAAGAATATTTGAAGGCCCAATCTGATTCCCTTCTAGGTATGTTTTGTTAAACTGTTTAACTTCTCTTGCCTTCCGTGTTGTGGAGTGTAATTGTTTGAATTCTAATGCTTGTATGTTTCCAAGATTCCATATTCTTATTCAGGCCACAAGCTTTATTATGCTAGCTGCTTGCATGTGTTTGATATTATGTGAAAATAAGCTTTACTTCAAAGCTTCATTTGGTGAGTTTTTAAACATAATCAACGAGGCCTATGAATAGAAAATATTTTGGCATGTTTTGACTGACCTTTTCTGCCTGTAAATGGTGCATCATTTTTCATTCAAATTTCTAAAATTAGGTAAAATTCTTAACACACAAAACTGCAACATTGTGCTTATTTGTGGACCAAGCTTATGTACCCTTATTTTGGGATTAAAAAATCAGCTAAAGTTTTATTGGATGCGTCAATTTTTTTGCTGGGCAATGCCTTATTGTGTGGAATATGTTACACTTGGCTTAAGAGAATGAATTGTAGCCAAAAGAAAACAGTGAATATGTCATCTTAAACTCAAATTTAGAGACAAATTAACTTTTAAAGAATTGATCAAATTTGGTGCTTGGTGTTATTAATTAACTATGGTGCTCGTAATTCTGAGGATTAAGTATCCCAAATTTAAAATTATGTAATTCATAATTCTAACGAGTGATATCAAGCTTAAACCCAACAATGGAAAGATGATAAGAAAGCTGAGGCTTTACAGCTAGAAAATAAATATTTATCAGTATTTTATGATAATATTGGTCTTGCAATCTCAGGAAATTAACAAGAAACAGTAAATATATTAACTAACAGTTTAATAAATTTATGCTGGCCAATTTGCGTTACTTGAATTAATGAGTTTCAATTTTTGCATGTGACACTACTTGGTATTCATACTTCATCTATCTTCTTCTTTCTATATATATAAATATATATATTTATTAATTTATATATCATCTGGCTAGTTTAATGCATTTACACTCTTTGCGCCCTCTGGCTTCTTGGACAGATGTTTCAAAAGGCAGCCTCTTCATGTTGGATTTTATGCATATGATGACCAAATTGAGGCCTTTTGTTCATACATTTCTCAAAGAAGCAAGTGAAATGTTTGAGATGTACATTTATACAATGGGTGATAGACCCTATGCATTAGAAATGGCTAAACTGGTTGACCCCAGAAGAGAATACTTCAGTGGTAGAGTGATTTCAAGAGATGATGGCACCCTGAAACACCAAAAGGGTCTTGATGTGATACTAGGGCAAGAGAGTGCTGTTGTGATCCTTGATGATACAGAAAATGTGAGTGCACTTTCAATAAGCTAACATTGGTATCTCTTGTAAGTTGGAAGCACATTTTGATAAGCAATTAATCATGATGTGTGAACTTTCCCAGAATGTTTTGTTTGTAGATTTTCTTTTTCATTTTTTAACAAAAAATTATATAATTAAGAAATGGGTCATATATATGGTTGATGTTTGATCAGTGAGAGTTGGTATCTGTCCTGGGTATTGAAAGGAGAATTTGGAGTGTTATGGATGGAGGGATTTTGATAAAACACCAAAAACATTTGAACAATTTATTTTTTCCTTAGAGAAGCTTGATGTATTTGTTGCCTTCTCTTATATTAGGCATGGATGAAGCATAAAGACAATCTGATTCTGATGGAGAGATATCATTTCTTTGCTTCGAGTTGTCACCAATTTGGCTACAATTGCAAGTCTCTTTCTCAGTTGAAGAGTGACGAAAGTGAGACTGACGGAGCACTTTCTTCTGTTCTTAAAGTACTTAGACAAATCCACCATATTTTCTTCGAAGTATGTATTATTTCTTATAGATGTTGTTTTCTGTAAGTTGTGTTTCCGTGCGAGTTTTATTTGATTTTATTTATTTTAAACTTCTTGCAGGAACTTGATTCCGAACTTTCTAGCAGAGATGTGAGGCAGGTATACTTTTTGTCATGACCTTGAGATTCAAAATTTACATGTTTGATATTTTGAAAATTTTAAAATTTCACATTTAAATTCTTCTCCAGCCACCAAACTTTTTATCTAGTGAATATCATTTTGCATTTGGAGGATGGTAATCATTTAGTTCAACTCGAGTTTTTCCTCTTTTGCTCTACAGGTGCTGAAAACAGTTCGGAAGGAAGTGCTTAAGGGTTGTAAAATTGTTTTCAGCCGTGTTTTTCCTGCAAAGTTCCAGGCTGATAGTCATCTTCTGTGGAAGATGTCAGAGCAGTTGGGAGCTACTTGCTCAACGGAAACTGATTCTTCAGTAACGCATGTCGTTTCAACAGATGCTGGAACTGAGAAGTCTCGTTGGGCAGTGAAAGAGAAGAAGTTTTTGGTCCATCCACAGTGGATAGAAGCTGCAAATTACTTATGGCAAAAGCAGCCTGAAGAAAATTTTCCTGTTAGCCAAACAAAGAATCAATGACCACACTTTCATCATGGCTTGAGGGGATTGCCTGCTGCTTTTTGGTGATTTAAACTAGTTCTCTGATTATCTTACTACATCAACACTTAAAAAGTATTTGGATAAACAGTCAATTGCTAACAGAAATTCATGTAGAGTGCCAAAATCTGTAAATTTGAGACTGGTGCTCTTGTTTTCTTAAATGGCTGACCAGTGTCAATGAAAAGAAGGAACTCGAGAAATTTAGTTCTAGGTTTTTTAGTACAATCGGTCAGTCTACAGGGCAATTTTGAAAGGTAGATGGCTGTTTGTGGCCTATGGGCCATGGCTGTTTGAATGTTGATGCATTTGGTGGGCTGTGGTTTTAACTTATGTTTAATTTTCTAATAGCTTATGCTAAGCTTTAAGCTAGATAGTGACTCAATAGGACTCAAGCTTAAATTAAATATAAGTTTATTAGGTAGAAAGTTGTTTTAAAAATAATAAATATAATACAAAATAGTAGTTTAATAATATTTAATAACTTTAACTTATACTTTAATTTATATATATAGTTTTATAAACATTTTAAGATTATCTTTTTTTAATTATGAGTTATCTCTTAGATATGAGTAGAAAAGATTGAAAAATATTTTTTATTATTATAATTAAATATAATTAGTTTTTAAAATTATACAGCATAAAAAAATTAATTTTTTCTTTTTTTTTTCACAATTATATAACATAAATAACATTTTTATTATATTAAAAAATCAAAATTAAAAATATGCTATAAGTCAATGAAAATGCAAATTTAAATAACTTAACTAGGTTTGATAAATTTTGATTTTTATCTAAATAATTAATTTAAAATCCAATTTTAAAAGTCAATGACTTGAAGCAAAGAAATGACTCCAACTTTATATAAAACTTGTCTCATAACTCCTAATTTCAATGAATTTATATTTGATATATCATCAGTATATAAATTTTATATATTATTGATAAATTAGGTGATGTTATTTTATTAATAAAGTGAATCAGGTGAATTATTTCATATTAATAGATAAGTTTTTTTTTTTTTAAGTTAATTTTTGTATATTTATTTTAATTATTGATATTTATTTATTAATGATGTAATATTATCTAATTTACTGATAACGTATAAAGTCTATATATTAATAATGTATGAATTATAAACTCTAAGGTAATTTAATAAAAGATATTAAAGCTAGATGATCTGAGGGATGGAAACATCAGAGCCAACCAATCTTACGGACCAAAAATATCAAAGTCGGACGGTTCAAGGACCGGCTCTAATAAGTATGGTATAGTTATTCGAAATTAAGTTTCAAATAAATATTATATATATATATATATATTTATATATATATAATTGCCTTAGTAAAGCATGTGTAAGTTAATTAGAAGGGAACAAAATACAAATCCCAATTTGTGTTTGTGCAAACGAGCTCAGCTAGAGGCTCATGTTAAGGATGTTGAGCTGCTTCTTGTTTTAAATTTACAATCTCAGGGCCAACACTTGCCACTGAGGCTGAGGAAAGTACCTGAAAAATGAAACAAACTGCGTATCCAAAAGCACATGAAACATAATCTTGTGCATGCCAACAATATTATTTTATTTCATCATTCATCCTCCAATGCTTCAACCATACATGTATATTCTTCACCAACAACTCAGTTGAGGAAAACCATATTCCACTGAGGAATTATTATAATCCAAAGTACACAGATGATTATTTCAAAGATAGCTTGAGAGGGATGCTAAAATCAGTGTCTCTTTCTTGGGCACCAGAGACCTAAACAAGCTATCCTTGGTTGTTTCACCTCCTGGATTTTCGCCCTTCCAATCCCAACTGCCATAAAAACACCATCACAAGTTAATCATAACAACAGGAATCAAAGATTTTTTGTAAATATTATTCTTAATATAATTAATCACTTACTGTTCAGGAGTTTGCTCTCAGCCATGGTGATTATGAGAAGAAAAGATATCAGCACAAGGAAGTTGAAGACCATATTTGATTTGCTGTTAAGCTTTGCCATGATTCTGAAATGTCCAGCTCAGCAGGATCAAGAACAAGCTCTTCCTGTATAAATTATATTGGATTGATTGCCTTTTGAGAGTGGTGAAACCTATTTATAAAGGATAATTTCGATTTTTCCTAAAAGAATGTTGTCTCTATGTATATGAACAATTATGCATTCAAATTAACATGGCGGGTTTTACAACTTGAGCTATGGGACTTATCGACCATTTAATTACAAGGGCTTTTGTCATTTAAATAAATGTGTGTGTGTGTGTGTTTTTTAATAGTAAAATCTCTTTCTCTTGCTAAATTTTTAATTTGTTAATCCGGCTGAAGTTTCATCGGAAATGTTGTTCAACAAATTTAATACAAAATATTATCGGAAATGTTGTTCAACAGATTTTTTTTATAATATAATAATCACAATGGGACAAAATTTTTTGAAAATTGACTAAGAAATAGTAAGTAACAAAAAGAATTAATCAAACAAAGTACTACTATTCTTCTTGTTTGCATGATCTATATATTATAGTCAATCGAACTATATATCCGATTTATCGTTGGGAAATCCAACTCCATCTCAAAGTACTTGGCATTCTTCAACAATTGATCAAAGATCTTTGTATTGCACGAAACCATGATAGGTCCATTAAACTTGATATCAAAATGATCATCTAGGGATTGAATCAACAGTTCCTTGAACGTTGGAAGTGAAAGATACTTGATCGAGACTTCATACCTCTTAGTCTCTTCACTCATGCACATGATTACATAACCTTTTCGAGATTGAACAAGTTTTTCATCTTTTTTCTGCGTGCTTGTACTTATCAGAGGACTTACTTCGACATATCTTTTTGATAAATGAACGTATTTCTGATGCTAAATACATGGTAGAATCTAAATCTAGATTTTTTTTTCCTCTTGTTTTTTCTTTTTTGGAATATGGAATTGGAAACAAAGAAGGGATTCGAACCTTACTCAAAGAGCAGAAAGTCATGAACAAATCATTGTGCGAAATGCTCTGGTATTAAAGCATTAAAATTTAAAACAATTGTTGTAGTTTTGTAGATAGAGAAATGATATGTAACAAATCAAATTCTAATTTAAATAATCTTACATTGTTTAGATCTTTTAATTCGAATATTTAGAGCAGTTAAGGATAGAGGGAAATCCAAAACAGGTAGGCAAGGGCCATGATCTTCCAAAAAAATTTTTACACTATTATAATATAATAACTCAGTCCATCTAACGTCAGCATCGACCCTTCCTTTTTTATTAACTTCATTGTTTGGCTCTCCTTTTACTTTATGTCTGGTTTCGCCTTTGGTCAGGAATCAACAGCTACTAGTATTCTTTACACTGGATGGTGGCTGGTTTCAAAGTAGAAAGATGATCTTAATTACTAGACAAGCAGAATGTTAATAAATAAAAAAAAAAGGAAAAGAAAGAGAATTAAATTTGAAAAGTAGACCAAACATAACATTAGCCATGTATTATCCCCCTTCAAATTCCATGCATTTGTTGATGACCTGCCTGATTTTTGTTAATGGTCATGACTATTCAGTGCATCAACCTTTGTCTTGTTCAACCAAGGAGTAAAACATCTCATACTTACAAGAACTAGAGATGGAAAACCCAACTTCACCCTGAAAACCCTAACTCCGAGACTTTTCTTTGACAATTCTCGAAAATAGTTGGTGATCATGCCTAACGTTGCCTCGGTGAACTCCTTCGTACATCTCTTTAACTTATCCTTGAATCCATTTTGTTCCCTAAAATGGTAACTGCTCAAAAACGCGCGTCTAGCATGCCAATAATCACGACCATAGCGATTGCCACTCCCATAATCGTCTTCCCATTTATCGGTAAGTTTAAGAGAATCTTGATGATGCATATCGGACCAATTTTGGATTATGGTCGGAATGATTTTGGTGCTTGGCATAGGGAGAAAGAGGGTTATATTAGATGAGGGAAATGGAAGAATTTTGATTTCTTAAGATATGAGTGAAGGAATTTTTCTTATAGGGTTTAATGTTTTGGTAGAATGAAAAAGTTAGGGTGGTTGAACCGTAAAGAAGAAATGTGTTGGAAGCTGGTGGCTTTGGTTATATCCAAACAGGAATATTTTGCATCCAAACAAGACTTATTGACATTAAAAAATGAAACTAACTTAACTAACACTGAAATAATCATGCGAACGGTTGATATTGTTGGATATGGAATATCTTGGTTTTGACCTATGTCTCACCAAACATAGACACTTATGCATAAGTCAATGGTAGAAGTAATAACGGTTAAAATTTGATTGGATTTGATTCAATTTTTTTAATATTATATAATATTAAAAAATTTTAAAATTTAATTTGAATTTAAATATAGATACTTATGCGTAAGTCATTAATAAGAGTAATAACGATTTAGATTAGATTTGATTTCATTTTATTTTTTGTAATATTATATAATATTATAAATTTTAAAAATCTAATTTGAATCTGATCCGAATTTTATCGAACATAATAAATAAAATTTAGTTCAAGTTCGTTTAATGATCAAATATCTATAAAAATTTTTTATTTTTATTTTATAAAAATTAAAATATATAAAAATTAATAAAAATATATAGTTAAGTTTAGTTCAATTTTTTTTTTTTATCTTTATATCCGAAAAATTCAATCCAAATATATATATATATATATATTTATTATTCGAATTTAATCAAACCGAATAAAAAAAATCGATTCGAACCTAATATTATAATTTTGAATCGATTTTTAATTTTTTTCTCCCACCAAATCATTAGATTAAATGAAAATATTTAAAAAGTAACATCATCAGCTCTTAAGTTCAAATCAAATGTGTTCAAATCATATACATATATATTTTTTTTTTTCTTATCTACATATTACGACTTTTTTTTATATCAAAAAAATATTTATGCAATTTGATTTATAAATCATCGATAATAATTCAATTTCAATGCCCATGCACCAAAGGCATGCCACTTTTTGGTATGATGAAATGGCATGCATTTACATTCATTTGATAAATGGAAATTGCATTTTAATTGGAGTTAAAATATTTTAAGCATTTTAGTCCAAAAGTATCAAATTGAAACATTTTAGAAGAAATCAAAATTTTAAAATTATATAAGATTGAATTATAAGCATCAAGTTTGTGATTATTTCAATTTAGTTCATTTAGATTTCAAGCTTTCAAGTGTCAAGAATCAAAATAAGAAATTTAAACTAAATCAAACCATTATTGTATCAAATTTTTAAATGAAATCAATCATATTATTTAAAAAAAACTCAAATCACACAATAAAAATTAAATCTAAAATCTCATTATTTCAAAATCCCTTTTTACTAATTTAAGATCTCATTGACCCATTTTGTATACCAAAGAATCTCAACCAATTAATTTTTTTTTTTTGGGCTTGAATATTTTTGGGTTAGGCTTGAGATAAGATTTCAAAATGGATGTCCCCCTAATTTATTTTCATATTGATCCTTGAAATTCTATCTTAATGTTAAAAAGTTAACCTAAATCTTTAGGGTTTAGATTCAACTCTTATTAGATGTTTACTTAAATTTTATTTTGGTGCTTTGATTAGTTCATTCATTAGATATTTTAAGAATTAATAGTTATTATATTTTTAACATAATTTATAAATAAATTATATGTTGATAATTAAATTATAAATTTTATTCGTATGCATATATAAAAATATTTTTATAAAAAAATATTTTCACATTTTTGTAAAATAAGATACTTACCAATTTCTAAAAAAAAAAAAAAAAACTCCATGCTACTAATTTATTGAAATTAAATTGTGTCAAGTAGCATTAAAAATATAGAATTTCTCTCATAAATCCAAATTAAGGAAGAAGATGAAAAGAAAAAGGAAAGAAGGGTACTTTGGTAATTTGATTACTCATTTAAATAAACAATAAAATTTTGCAGAAAATTCCAGAGAGATTGAGATTCCCGAGAGACATAGTTTAATGATCGAATTGAATCATTCACGGCTCTCCAGAAACAAAATCTATGGAGGCAACCAGGAATCCTAAATCGATTTACAACGAAAGCAGTAAGATCCCCATCTACTTCTTTCCTTTTCCTGTGTAAATTTCTCTTTGAAATCTCTCAATTTATCCTGCTTGAAGTAGTTAAATCGACTCTGAAACAACCTAGTTCCTGTTTCTTTTTTCTGTATTGAAATGATGGATATTTGAAAAGCATTGGGTCTTTTAGATCTGGGTTTTTCTGATCAGGCAGTTTCAAAAATTATTGGTGTCATGTTTTGAACTAAAAAAAAAGTGATCTTGATGAAGTGTTGTGGGGTTATGAATTTTATCTGGGTTGTAATGATGGGTTTTGCTCCTTTGATTGAATAAAGTAAAAAAGAGAGAGTTGAAGGTGATTTATATATTAGTTAGTAGAGATGGGGAAGCCATTATTTTATGAGATATTGGAAAAACCAGCAACAAGTTGTATGATAGGAATATGTAGTGCAATATGGTTTTACATACAGAAGAAAAACATTGGTTATCAGCATGTGGGTTTAAGCTATGAAACTGCGGCTGAAGGGCACCATTGGAGGATAATTACTTCAGCTTTTTCACATATAAGTGTTATTCATCTTGTTTTCAATATGAGCGCCCTTTGGAGTCTTGGGGTTGTAGAACAATTAGGGCATTTGGGTCTTGGAATGGCGTATTATCTTCAGTATACACTTGTTTTGGTTGTATTATCGGGGTTGCTTGTGTTGGGAATGTACCATTTCTTAATTCAGCGGTTTAAGGTTGAGTATTTCCGGCGAGTGACTGCTGTTGGGTATTCTTGTGTTGTTTTTGGTTGGATGACGATTTTGTCTGTGAAGCAACCTTCATCAAAGTTGGATCTTTTTGGATTCCTTTCACTTCCTATTAGTTTTGCACCTTTTGAGTCATTGATTTTTACTTCAATCATTGTTCCACAGGCAAGTTTTCTCGGACATTTATCTGGAATTATTGTGGGGTATGCTATAGCTTGGGGTTTGATTCATGGGATGACTAATTATTGGGCAGTTTCTATGCTGGGATGGATTGCGGTTGCTTTTGTATTCAGTTTGAAGCGTTCCGGTGCATATGATTTCAATTTTCTCGAGATTGAATCTGTTACAGATCCTTCATTGCGTTCTGTGCGGTTTATAGGAAATGCTAGAACCTTGCAGATGAGTACAATTCCAGTTGAAGGTGTTGAAATTGTCTAGTTCCTTTGTTATAATGATGCCAATATATTTACGATGTCAGTCTGGACTATTGAGTCACCCCTTGACAATACTTTGTGATTTGCTTTGTCGGGCCATACAGTAATTTGGAATTTGGAACAACTGGGATATTCTTGATCATTAGATGTTTCTGATCCGTTGCTTTGCTGTGCTGCAATCACAAATGTCCCCAGGTGGCCAGGTCTACTTTTAAACTTAGAAAGATGTTAGATAAATTTCTTCACTGCCTGTTGTGGGTTGCAAGTTACTGATCATCATTGCTCACTTATGCATCATTATTGTTCTTTACCTGGTAGCATAAACCTTAAATAGTTTCTAGATTGTTCTACCATTCTTTTGGGAAATGGTGAAAAAATTTGTTTATGATGTTGAAAGTTCAAATTCATCGAAATTTATATAACTATTGAGTAACTTGATGAAGAAAAAACTATGTATTTCTGTAAATTTGGATTTCTAGGTTCAGTTAAATCTTAAATCTGGAGTTATGCGGGTTGCAAATAGTTGCTGGGACTTGTGACTTTGGATATTGAATCAATAGAGTACAGAAACCTTGCTTTTTCGTGTAACAGATGCGAAATGAGTTTTGTTAGTAGGCTGAAAATGGCTGCAAATTTTACAGAAGGGTGATCTTATATAACTAAATCAAATGGTATAAAGGGGGAATTGCTTAAAATAAAAGTTTACTCTTGTTATAGCGGTTAAAGTGCAAGGGAAAACTTGATGTTGAGGTTACAATGCATGATGTAATCTGCTGCTTATAATTTATTGTTGCAGCCTTTACCCTCTCAGCCGGTCCTTATGAAAAACATTTTTACAAGGGGATTCGAGGGTTCTTTTCAATATTCCCCCATTTTCTTTAAGGGGCCAAGGGTTTTTGGATTTTTCTTATATATCCGTTCTCTGAGTCGGTTTTAAAAAAGTTTATTTACGTTAGATTCGAGTCAATTCAAAAAAATTTGTTTCCGTTAAATTCATGAAAAATCATCTTAGAAATATCCCTACCTCCTTTTCCTGAAAGGAAGAACATGAGATTGTTCTTATAAGTTAAAAGTCCAGTTCCAGAAGGGTAGTTGTTTAGTTCAGTCTGTGAACCTTAACTTTGATTTTGACAGCTATTATGAATGGATAACCAAAGATGTTTACATACAATGGTCACAAATATCATGCCTATAAATTTCATCTTTATAATAAAATACTAATAATATAACTTTCATTTGGAACAATGGAATGCACAAACTTCTAAATGATTAAAACTGATGATTTTTTAAATCTAAGTAGCAAATCATGTAAGTGAAAAAGTAATTTTATAAAAAACTGGCATTTAATTTGGGTGCAAAATTTAGCAAACATCAACAGCTCTTGCAGAAGAAACACTAATAGACACTGTCGATGCATGTTTCCTCGACTCAAAAAGTTATGTTCAAGTCCAACTCTCTATCCATACATACATACGTATGTATGTATACATATTGCATGCATGCATGTATGTATAGAGAATACAATGTTAGCAACTAGCGAGCATACATAACCGTGGATAACGAGCGTAATTGTTTTCTCTTTGAACAAGTTGGATGATAAGCATACACGAGTAGAAAGAATGCTCACCATACAGTTAAAAATTGGTTTGTAGACAGCAATATTGATACAAATCATACATGATTGATTTAACCAAAAACTGAAAGAAAATACAAAATCTATCACTAAATAATAATAAATGGGATAGTCCAATGACTACGCCATGTGTCACCAAAAGATTGCATGCCGACAAATCTTAAAAGAATTGAAAATTAAAGCTTCTGCAAACAACAATGTGTACAGTCATCAAGAGCATCTGATTGATCTGCAAAATTTTAGTTTCTTGAGTTATATAATACTCTAAACATGGAATATGTGCAGTTTTAAGAACAATTATTGTACTGTAACATGTTTATTTATTCTTAAACCAACGAGTATAAGGCTTTGCCTGGGAGGCAGGATGGAAATGAGTGAAGATGAAAAACTTGTTAATCAAATTGTTAAAATTCATAATCACTTTCCTACTTTGTAGCTTAACCATTAGATTAACATATTTTCCATCATTCCTACCAAGCAAAGCCTAAGAGATGGATAAAATCATTTGGAGGCATGAAATATGGGAAGGCACATAAACTAGACTGATCAACAGTTATTTAGTACAAACCACCAAGTTTCTTCACAGAGCAGAAACCATATTTGACTAACTGAAAAAAATAAAGCATAGAAAATCAAATGAATGGCTACTTTAATCCGTATATCTTTTGGAAAGTTTCAGAAGGATGATTAATTGAAAACATCACTAAACTTGTTAGTCTAACAAGCAGATTATTTGAAAATTCTAATATGGCTTTGATATTGTTGATTGAGGAAATGGTGTCGTAAACATCAAGAAGCCAATGGTGATAACCTCAAGCAAGTTGTGTGCAATTAACTGCAAAAAGAAAGGAACTTGGCAACAAAACCAAAGAAATATGGATGGGGGAAACAGGGGGTTCAAGTTTTGGCAAAACCTGGAAAAATGAAAGTTGATATCCGGACCCTTGAATATTACCAACAAACCTTGATGTTCTTTTAAAATGTGTTCCACAAGCTCGGTTTCAAGTAGAACCAGACATAACAAAATATTCAAATCTTCATCTCATTCAACTTCGGAAATCTTTAACTGTGAGCAAGATATGAAAGCTTACCATTTCTTAACATCTCCATCACTTTCATCATGACCGGCAGTGCCATTAACATGGGTTGAAGTAGAGACTGAATCACTTTCTTGTGCTCCTGGATGAAGAAGATGAGAAAATCCCTGTCCAAGTGACTTCCATAAACGAGTTGGCAGTGATGCCTGCAAATTCCCACTGCTCCCACCTGAAGATGGTTCGATCAGCTGAGCTGAATCAGGGTTCAGTTCGGAGAACCGTACAGCTCCTAAGAGTTGCTCAGGAAGCTCAGATTCAGTTTGACTCTCAATAAGAAAAGCCAGGTCAACTGTCAGAGTTGTGATGTAACCAAATGCCAGATGAACAATTGCACTTGCAACCATGGAAGATCCAATATCAATATCAACTTCAAAAAAATTTTCAGATATACAATACTTGCAAGAAAGGGCACGTCCAATGATGCATATTGCTTGCTCTCCAACTGCTTTTCTAACAATCCATGGGCCTTTGACAATGTTTGCAATCAATTTAAGCCTCGTATTTCTAAACACATCATCACCTTTCAGGAACTGGTCAATCAAAGAACCATCTGGCATAGGCTCTGTCGCTACAAAATAAGCTACAGCACTATAGTTATCCTTAGTTGGGACCTGAAGATTAAATGCCCAAATGAAAGGCTTATCACCCGTTGGAAAGGCATCATCAACAACCTTCCTAACACGACTATTATGATGGCTCAAGATGTCCCCTAGCTTTGTGGAAGCTTTAATCCAGTCAAAGCCGAGAGACTTTAGCAGATATTTACCACCAGGAATTTTAACCTTGGTTGACAAGTACTCTGGACCCCTTACCATGAAGCTGTCACCAGGTGGGCATGCCCAACCATTTGGACAGTTATCTGGTTCCAGTAGTGGAACCGCTCCCTCTGATCTCACTCTCTGTATCCATTCAGGCTCATTGCTACTATTGGCACCAGCCATGTGTCCTGTTAGCATAAACATACAAGAAATCACAGTGAGATATGAGATGATGACGCAACAAAATTAGAGACTTATATTGCTACACCATTCTAGTATCTGAAAGACAACAAAAATCACCACATTCTTACCAAAGTATCAGAGCACATCTTCACGATCTAAGTCGAGATTATAATAAAATAAGCCAGAAAAATGATTAGCACTATCCAATAATGGCACTACAGCAAGATAATATTTCACAAATGCAAAGCCAAATAAGTTCAGACACAGAACAAACATCCTATGGAATAAATTATGAGTTCCTTGTTAGCTATGATCCCACCTAAAAATCTCCACCTGTGACAACATTATAAAACTCTCCCTTTGGAAAGGTCTTTTAGTATATTGTAAATTATTTTAAACATGAATAAAAAAAAAATCATCTATCTAGTCCACGTCCGTGGCATCTTACATAATGTCCAGTCTCATAGTAGATTTTTATAAGCTCCAGGGATAGTCAAAGCCAAATTTCTTATCTACTGACAAACTGGGTTATTTGCTCACAGCCTTATTTTGAAGATTTACAAAAGAACAAAGAAAAGAACAACTACTCACCTTGAACAAGTGATCAATCCAATATGATAGTCTGTGCCTCATTCATTAGCATCAAAATTACATTATTCAACATCCGGAAAGAACAGGGATATTGATACACCAAATAGAAAGAATCTTAACACACAAGCAAAAAAATACTATGCTGAAAATCCAGAAAAAAAGTATACATATAGAAATAATAATAAAAAAAAGTACACAAAAGCAATTCCAGAAGTCCAACATAATCAGTAATTTTCTTTCTAAGCATCTGTTTGTTTCACAGAAAAAACCGGGAAACCTTTCTGGGAAATCATTTTTTTTTTCGAGATTTCTTAAATAAGTCAAAATATCTATTCCCAAGTCTACTTTGTGGTCTTGAATTATAAAACAGAAAAAAAAAAAGCTGATTAAGTACAAATACAAATAAGTATATCTTATAATTCAATAAAAACAACCATTGAACAAACCCACAAAGAAAAACCAAAAAACAAAAATTACGAGAAAAAATTCAACATATTACCAAAGAGAAAACATACCAATCAAACTATAGTTGATTGCTAATAGAGCCAAAAAAACAATAAAAATAACTTCATTGAGAGCTAATTGAGCCAAAAGAACAACAAAAGTAACCTCATTTAAAAAATGAAGGAAAAACTAAATGCTAAAGAGGAAAACAATCTGAATTATAATAATTAAGCTGAAGAAAAGGAGAAGAACAAAAAAAATCTAACCTTTAAATGGAGGGAAGGGATTTAAAGCAATCGAGAGTGGTTAGAAAACCCTAATTACAAAAAAAATTGAGATCCGAGATAGTAAATTGGGGTTTTATTTTTGTGAGTAAAAGAGAGGGAAGCTCCAAACAGGAACTTTCTTCATTTTTTTTTTATTGAGGTAATTGCTTGCTTTATTCGTTTTGAAAAGCCAACCGGATATGACAAAGCGTATGATCATGGAATTGTACCTCTTCAGCCGGTAAACGGTAACAGTCCAGCTTTGATCTGTTGACACTTCTAAAAATGAAGTCAAGTCTGCTTCCAGTCTGATTCATCTATTTAAGCTCGTTTTTATAGAAAATATAATTAAAATATTAAAATGTTTTTATATTAATATTTTTAAATATATTTTAAAATTAAAATAAATAAAAAATTTATTAATAAAATAAAATTTTTAACTTAACTCGACTTGTACTTGAAAATGTTATCTAAATACAAGCTCGAGTTAGGGTTTATGGTAGATAAATTAATTGCTAGATGAAATTTTAAATTTAAATTTTATTATACATAAGTTTGGTTATTTAATTATATTTTAATTTATTAATTAATTCTTATATTATTATAATTTGATTTTAATGTATTAATTGATTATTCAATTAATTATATAATATAATATTTAATTATGAGTATAATTTAAAATTTTTAAATTCTAATATTTAATTTATGTATTTGTATTTTTTTAATAAAAAAATAAAGAGGATTGCTGGCAACATAAATCGAACTTAAGTTTTACCAAAGAAATATTCATTTGTTACCAACTCTACTAATTGATGTTGGCATTTACGTATTTGTATTGAAACAACAAGAATAGTTTGTTTATAATAAAGAATTTACCAAGAACTAGCACGGGCGAACTTTGTTTTCACGTGTTTGTAACGAGTTCCAACCTAAAAGTTTTTGAAAAAATATAGGAGAAAATGATTAGAGATAAAAGTAGAGAGTATTTTTTATATTTATATTTTGACGTATAAAACAAATTGAATCAAGCAAAATGAAAATAATAAAAAAAATTAAAAATAGATTTAACTTATCTTAACGATGCTTGAATATTCGTATTTATAAATAAAAGATAAAAAATCATTATAAGATAATAAAGATATGATCGAGTTGATGTGATATTGAATATATTAAATTAGGTCAAATTAATATAAATATCGTAATTATATTTAATTGTTTATTAGAAGCTTCTAATAAAATAAAAAGATCATTATACTCTTTTGATCACTAAATACTTTCAACTTCAGGATTAATTACGTGATTGTCTTAGAAATAATTAAAAAAAAATAATATTGTTCTATTTTCTAACAAACTGTGATCTTGTCAAAGTGATCCTCCAGCTTTTTGCATGATACAAGCAGCTGTGAGTTGTAGCAATACGGTATGTATTGCCATATTGCCAGGATTCATCTGTAAATTTTTTATAAAAGAGGCCATAGCTGGAGAATAAGAGAATGGATTATTGGTGTTGAGATTTGATTCTCAAATCTGTTAATTATCATTTTAATAATGATTGTATAAACCAAATAAGTTAAGTTCCGGATCTGCTTTCACGTCAAAGTTTCTAAAGATTCTTTTATCAGAAAATTGGGTAATCTTCATTTAGGAAAAGCAGATGATTTGTTTGTATACTCTTTGCATTATTCTTGCACTAATCTGTTGTTTAATAGGTTTCACTTTTAGGTGAAAAATTAATGGTTTAAAAATCGTGGAAGTAGGTAGAAATGCATGACAGAAGTTAACAATTAAAATCAATGATGTAACATGTAACAGTCATGGAAGTAGATTACCATTTGAAGTAAAAAACTCCATTATTGATCTTTCCCATACAACAATCATGGCCAACAATATTGAACCTGCTTCCGTCATCTATGTTACCACATCAAATGCATGTTCTTTAACTTCTTAACTGATGAATTCCTACCAAGTTATGTAAGCCTTGTTCTCAAATATCAACACACCAGTCACCATATCCGAGCAAATCTTTTCTTCTCTATCTCTCAGCCTCTGATCTATTCTGGCAAACAACCTTGTTTTCCATGGAGAAGAAAGGCAAACACAAAGATGATCAAACTTTTTTGCAGCACCCAGTTTTCCTTATCATTGTTCTGGTTTTTGGGTTTTTTATGATGGATCCTTTGAAAATAGGTCCAATTGGAGGCATTAAGTTCAGGCCAGTGGAGCTTAACATTGCACCATACAAGGAAGTCATGGGTAGTTGGCCTAGAGACAACAGAAGCCGGTTAGGAGATGGGAAACTTGAGTTTGTGGATCAAGTTTTTGGCCCTGAGTCATTGGAGTTTGACAGCTTAGGGCGTGGCCCTTACACCGGATTAGCCGATGGGCGCATTGTTAGATGGATGGGTGAGGATATTGGATGGGAGACATTTGCCGTTGTAACATCAAACTGGTGAGCTTTTATTAATGAGTTCACTCCAATAATCTGTTAATTATGAATGTATCCCAGAATTTCATTACTTCATGCTAATTGTGCTGGAAATGTACTCAAAAGGTCAGAGAAGTTATGTGCCAGAGGTGTGGACTCAACCACGGCTAAGCAGTGGAAACATGAGAAATGGTGTGGTCGTCCACTTGGCCTAAGGTTCAACAAAGATAGTGGAGATTTGTACATTGCTGATGCATATTACGGATTGCTCGTGGTTGGACCTGCCGGAGGACTTGCCACACCTTTGGCAACTCATGTGGAAGGGAAGCAAATACTCTTTGCAAATGACTTGGACATCCATAAGAATGGTTCCATCTTTTTCACCGACACTAGCACAAAGTACAATAGAGTGTAAGTGAACAAAAATGCACCTCTTATTATTCAATTTCTAATACAGAATGGAAGAACTTACATTAGATTTTCGAGCAGGAGTCATTTCTTCATAATGTTAGAAGGAGAAACAACTGGTAGGCTTCTCAGATATGATCCTCCTACTAAGACAACTCATGTAGTTTTGGATGGTTTGGCTTTTCCAAATGGAGTACAGTTTTCTATGGACCAGACTTTCCTCCTATTCACTGAGACTAGCTATTGCAGGCAATTTCCATCTCACTTTTCTGCCCTTCCCAATTATTAAGTTGTTTCTATCTGATGCATTACTTATCTGCTGACTGCTGACTGCTCTTCCCATCTCACTAATATTTTTATTTTATATTTTCGTCGACACCAATTATAACACGTAATACACGAACTGTCAGTGCAAATTGCTGGCCAGGTCTAATATTGATCAGTTTGCCAAAGAGTATATTAACAGTGAACTAACCTGGTTTTTTTTATTATGGTACAAAGACTTTGTTCTGTTCTTTTTATTACCAATTTGTGCCATGATGACAGGCTGATGAAATACTGGCTAGAAGGTCCAAGAACTGGAACTATGGAACTTGTTGCTCATCTACCTGGTTTTCCAGACAATGTAAGAATAAATGAAAAAGGTCAATTCTGGGTAGCAATAGACTGTTGCAGGACTCGAGCACAAGAAGTTCTGGCCCACAATCCATGGATGAGGAGTATATACTTCAGATTACCAATTAAAATGAGCATCTTAGCCAGAATAATGGGGATGAGGATGTACACAGTTATCTCACTGTTCAATGAGAAGGGAGAAATTCAGGAAGTTCTTGAAGATCGAAACGGTGTGGTTATGAAGCTAGTTAGTGAAGTTAGAGAAGTACGAGGGAAACTATGGATTGGAACTGTGGCCCATAATCACATTGCCACCCTACCTTACCCTTGACCTCATTTTTCCTGCAATATCTTTAGATATTGGAACTGTGGCTCATAAGCTACTTTCCTCTGATTCTGTGACTCCTATTCTTCTTTTCTACGGTAGATCAATGAATTTCCAGTTACTATTTCGGCCATTAACTACTATGCAACAAACCATTTGTGGGACTTTTTTTTTGTTACTATTATTCTACTAATTCTAGTCCTAAATCTGTCTGGCTTCCTTTTACTTTGCCACCTCTTTAGCAGATTTCTTTGTTTCAGATTACATCTGATAATTTTAAACACTATAAATATGATACGAAAATTTATATAAAAACGATACGATTTAAAATTTTAACAAAAATCATATATAAATTTATTAAAAAAAATATTTTATATTTGATACGATGAAACTACACTATAATTTTTATGTTTTACTTGTTTAAAAGATGAAATAATTGTATACAAATATAGGAATTACCAAGTTCAATGTTTGGTTAAAGAAACCAATTCGTTCACTCAAAACAATTGTTCCATTTTGTCTTTTGTTATTTCTATTTAATAAGCATAAATGGTGGAATGCAAAGTTGAGACTGCAAATTCAATCATAACTTTTTTTTTCCTGCAAACAACTTCATAGGTTTTATCTTCTGATTTTCTGGCAGTTTGGACTTAAACAGCTGATTGCATATCCAAATTATATCAATTGAAGCTTGAAACTAACACTGAAATTTCTTATGTACCATGACTAACACTAATCTAAATGTTCATTTTCCAAACTATTAGACTAACCATAATAAAGCTGAATTGGAAAAATGCAAACATAGGTGACATTTTTTATCTAATAATGTGCTCAAGCAGGCGCAAAAACAATTATTTACAGTTTATGCCATTGTACCTTTATCCGACATAAAAATATATATTAATATCATTTGAGATCTAATTTAATTATTTTATATAATCATATTTAAAACGTAATATTTAATCAATTTAAATTTTAAATTTTAAGATACGATTCATTCCTTTATTATGTGGTTTTTTGTAAAAAAAAAAAAATCAAACAAGAAGTATTATGCATACTTATGAAATATTTGACATGTATAACATATAAAAAGAAACAAATTAAAGAATGAGAGAAGAGAATTGGTTGTGTTATCCTATTCATTTTTATAAATGATTTAAAAAGCTTATCATTATTTCTAAAATTGAAAAAAAAAAAGGAAAAAAACCTTATCATCCTGTTTCTTCGGAATGGGAAGTCTATAAAATGATGCTTTGATTACAAAAACGGCCAACCCCTAAGAAAAGGACAAAACTAGGATGAGTTTGGCACGTCAGTTCCAGTGGAGCCTGCTGTAAGTTTTAACTCCTTTCCCTTAACAGAGAAAAAGAAAGAAAATTTTTAATCTCTTCAATCT